ATATACTAGAAAGGATGTGACGTGACTTCACAAACTTACCAGGAATCCATTCCCAAGGGCCTTGATGTCGTTAAGTTCCAGCCGACGTGGCAGCACGTGATAGGCCATCACTTGCCAGAGAATACTTTTCTTCCGTTGCAGCCCTCCAAAGCGCGTATTCTTGGGCATGCGGAAATAGGCCCCATTGGTTGGCGCAAAGATCGTAATGTTGTTTGTGAGGAGCGTATTCATCAGCGTCTCATTCATACCTGTAAAAAAGGAACAGAGCATGGATGTTTATAAAGGATAAAACCAGTTACACAAACAAAACGAGAATGAAAAGTATCGTACCAAATGCTATTTTGCAAATATGACTCACCGCTCATTCTGATGCCCGTTGCAACTCCAGTGAATTTCTTCTCGTACAGAAACGTCAGAACCTCGTTCACTTTCGCTAGCGTTGCCTCCTGCTCCGCTGTCAGGATAGGACCCGGCGTTCCGCCTGAACCTCCGCCTGAACCTCCGCCCGAACCTCCCCCTGACCCTCCGCCTGACCCTCCGCCTCCGGATCCCGCCCCCCCGCCATTCTGACTTCCGCCTCCACCGCTCGCTTGCCCTCCGCCGCCTGTCTGACTTCCCGCCCCGCTTCCTGACCCCCCGCTCCCCGTCCCCCCGCTTCCCGTATGTCCACCAGTGTCCCCTCCGCTCCCCGTACCACTCCCCGCTCCGCTTCCCCCTCCGCTCCCCATCCCACTCCCGGCTCCGCTACCCCCTCCGCGAATCACATCTCCGCTATCCCCCGACGACCTCCCGGATTTAGATCCAGCGTCCGTTCCCGAACCAGTTCCCGAGCCTCCACCCGTACCAGTTCCTTTCCCCGAGCCAGATCCGGAGCCCCTTGAGTTCCCCCCCCCCTTCCCCTTCCCCTTGCCTCCACTGCTTCCCTTTCCCGTTCCGGTATTCCCCCCCGCACCTGTCCCCGTACCCACCCCCGCGCCTGCCCCCGTACCCCCGCCCGCGCCTGTCACTGTACCTTTCCCCGCGCCTGTCCCCGTACCTGATCCCGTGCCAGTCCCCGTACCTGATCCCGTGCCAGTCCCCGTACCTGTTCCCGCGCCTGTCCCCGTACCTTTCCCAGTGCCCGTTCCCGTACCCTTCCCCGCACCCGTACCCGTTCCTTTTCCCGCCCCCGTCCCGGTTCCTTTCCCCGCGCCGGTCCCGGTACCTGTTCCCCCTCCTGTCCCCGTACCTTTCCCGGCGCCTGTACCCGTACCCTTCCCCGCACCCGTTCCCGTACCCTTCCCCGCACCCGTTCCCGTACCCTTCCCCGCACCCGTTCCCGTACCCTTCCCCGCACCCGTTCCCGTACCCTTCCCCGCACCCGTTCCCGTACCCTTCCCCGCACCCGTTCCCGTACCCTTCCCCGCACCCGTTCCCGTACCCTTCCCCGCACCCGTTCCCGTACCCTTCCCCGCACCTGTCCCCGTACCTTTCCCTGCGCCTGTCCCCGTACCCTTCCCCGCGCCGGTCCCAATTTCCGGTACCTTCCGCTCTCCAGTTGCCGTTCCTGTACTCCCGCCGGTCCCCGCACCCGTCCCCGCACCCTTGCCCGCGCCGACACCCGTCCCGGAGCCGGCTGATTTTCCGGTTCCAGACTTTTTCCCCGTGCCGGCCGCTGCCGTCATCGCCATGAGATTTACCGTGCGATCAGAGCCGTCGGTGGCAGACGCCGTTTTTACGGATAGCGGGGAGCCACCACTGCCGATGTCCGTTGCTACACCGAGGTCGGTGCTCACGCCGAACGATGTGCTCATATCGAGGGATTGACCCGCCGCAGTGGCGGTAAGCCACGGCGATATGACGAGGGCGACCAGCAGGAGGAGCGGGAGCAGGGCTGACGGGTTCAACAGGGTTAGGCCGAGTGGGGCTACGGCGGAGTGAAGAGCGTGGGATGAATGCCGTGACATGCGCCGCGATCGCGTTGACGCCATGGCTGAGGCTGTCATCGAGTTGATGACGCGCTGCGCCGTCGTCGGTTACGAGCAGCGTCGCCGGTTACGAGCTGCGTGACGGGGAATTTTCTGAGTCTCACTAACTCGCTGATGGAGGACTTTCAATGGGAGGAACTACTGGCGCGAGAAGGCTATTATTTTTTACGGCAAGTATTCGTGCCGAAGGTTGTTTGGTCGTCTAAATCACCGTTGAGAAGGAGGTTCGTCTATGCAAAGGCAGGGATGGAAAGGAACATTCAAGAATCCCAGGAAGTCGAGTTTTTTTAACACCCTCGTGCGGCTCGCGAGCAGATATGCCAATCTACTGACGTTGATACGTGAAAGGGGGAGCGCGCTGACGATGTCTTACGAAGTTAAACTAGAAACACTGAAAGAAAACGATATCTATGGAGAGTTGCGAATCTAAGAAGAGAGAGCGCCTCAGGTCGCAAGAGTGGTCTGTTGGTAAAAAGCATCGAAATCAAACATCGTGAAGAACTCGAGGGTTATGGTGTGTGGCGGCCGGGTGGGAGCACTAGAACCTATTCGTGAGTCGAGACCTGGTGGGCCCTATTTTGCGTTTTGGAAGCACCGCGCCGACTAGACAGATGTCAATATCGACGAAGCCAAGCAGAGCAGAGGCATGTTCGGCAGGAAGGATGGGGCGAGGGAAGGGTGAGCTGGGTCAATGTGGGGGTGGAAGAGTGGGGTTGGTGGGAGGGAGGGATCAGCGGCAGATTCCAGATTTCCAATGTCGAAAGGTTTTTCCGGACCGCGGGCGACTCGCCTCACTTCGCTGGAGTGTGGGCTTGGTGGCTGGCTGCGTTTTCGCCACTAATCCCCCACAACACCAGCGCCCTGATTGCTGGGCAGCGAGTTGCCGCAATGTGGCCGACGCGTGGGTATCATGCGATTCGGAAATTCAACCTGTTTGGAAGATCATATAGAATGCTGGAGATTTCTTGGCAGCTTGCCTTCAGGCGTATATGTGAGACAGCTGTACTGCCGATTCAGCAGACGGAAGCACAGCTGGGGTGTACGTGGAACTTCACAGACGCTGACAAGGTAATGTGCGCTCCATTGAGTGCCTCAGATTATGACGAAATACATGGTGATTACAATACTCGTCATAGCGAGCTTCCAAGCTACTAAGAAATCACATGTGTGATTGTATATGTTTGCTAGCTTGGCAAATTGTTTCACGAAGATGATAGATTTAATGGACCATAAACGACACAATAAAATAATTACAAATATCTACCAAGAGTGGTCTCACACAAATACAGGAGATTTGTGCACAGATTACATAAAAAAATCTACATAATATACCTGGAGGTGAATATAGATTTTTATTCTGTATTGTGAAAGTGTTCTAGGATTGTTGGTGTTGTCCATTTCTGGGAAAATATGCGAATGGTAACATACATGGGGCTCTATAACACGTACGGTAACCATAACAATGAATTTTCACGCGTTTGGTAACTCGATTCACGCATTTGGTAACTATACACTGGCAAGCCATCACGCGAATGGTAACTAGAAGAAACCCTCGTCAAACTTGACCCTGATTCTGGTTTTTCCCGCTCGCGCCAGACTGAATTGACGAGTCCTGAAGCACGAAATTCTGACACACTTTCCGAAATTCTGACACACATTCCGAAATTCTGACACACTTTCCGAAATTCGGACTATTTCGTAAAAAGTTGCTGTTTTAAAAACCGTTTATAATATAATGCGGATATTCTGGCGCTCGCGGAATTTTGATTTCACTTAATTCTATCGTACAACCGGGGCAAAAGATATATACCCCTTTCGGATGGCAAATGATTTTGAGAGCATCAACCCTAAACTCCTTGCGACAAGGCGTTCAATGTTATTTCTACAATAAAGGCATGCCATTCGGAAGGGTATTATTTTTCCACCTCCAAAATTATCCCACGTTGCATGAATTACACAATTTTAAATAAAATTATTGTCGCTTTTCCGGGAAACTTTCACCATTTTGCAATTATGCAATCATGCTTGCAAAAATATAATTGTACTTGTTAGTACTATATTTCCGAGCTTAAAATAGATATGAAACTACTCTGAAACTATTTGGTCCGTGGTAATTGAACAAACGCAATCCTTCAAAGTCGCGGCGGGAATCGTTCAATATCGGTAAAATGGTCCGTGAAATCTTTCAATTTAACAAATTCCTCTTAGTCAGGATCATTTCGGTGGGAGTTTCATCTAGTTACCATTCGCGTGATCATTCGCCTGTGCTAAGTTACCAATTGCGTGAAACGAGTTACCAAACGCGTGAAAATGTACTGTAATAGTTACTGTACGCGTTAAAGAGCCCCACGTATGTTACCATTGGCATACTTTCCCTCCATTTCTCATGGAAGCCCAAAGAATTCCTCGTGTCTGATTACATGCGTTTACCCCAGCTGTTTCCTGTCCCATGCAGAACATCGAGAACGACACAACCGAGGTAGCTCGGTGTTTCCCGCCAGCTATTCTACGAGTCTACCAGTTCTCCCCCGCGAAAAACGGCAGTTTCAAACTAGGTTGGCCCACTCGGTCCCTCCAGATCACACTCCCAGAGGCGTTTGGATTCCATCGCGACTTGTCGAGCAGGAGAAGCTAAGCTCATATGAATAGCTGAGGATACGAGGTGAAGTGCTTTGAAACATCTCGAGTTCCTCTCCTCTCGCCTGGTTTCTTCGGATTTGTCCTGTCGGAAGTCAGAAGTATACATTTTCAAGGAATAAAATCAAGATTGATTTCATGTACGCGAATGCCTTCCCCTCTCCGGTTCGGAATCGCAGTCGATCTTCGCTAGAAGTCAGAGGAAGCCGAAACTCGCTACAAGACTTCTCGTTAAGCGAAGCAGACCTCAAACCAGCACCATCATCACCACCACCTGCATTCTCCAATCCCGCTTCCTCCGCCGCCACCGCCGCAGCCACCGGTGCCGCCACCGGTGCCGCGGCCACGGTCACAGCCCTCATCCCCGCAGCAGGAAGCATTTTTTCCCGCTTAAGCATGTTTCGTTCTAGTCCCGTATCGGGAAGCAGGTACTTATCTCAAGTCCGGCCCGAGCCGCGCGGCGGAAAGGACGGTGGCAGCGACATCGACGAAGGCGACTTTGTCCACGACGAAGCTTCATCGCTGCTTCGCTCGGACGCGAGACCGTTTCCTTCGTCCGTCGGTGCTGCTGGGGGCATCTTCGGCGGGTCTTACGGCGGCGGGAGCGGGGGCGGGTTTAGGAATGGGAAACGGAGACTAAGGACTCTGGCGGCGTGCGCGGCGCTGGTCGTGGCGGCGCTGGTGCTGGCGGCGTGCGCGGTGGTCGATGTGGCGGACGCGTGGCTGGGACTCGGAGGGACGCGACGGGCGGCTGGATTGGAGCGATGCGTGCCACAGGACATCCCAGGTAGATTCAAGGGGAATGGCAAGGAACGGTGGGGAAGGGTGAGGAACGGTGGGGAGGGTTGGAGAATAGTAGGGAACGTGCGACGGGCGGTGGGACTGGAGCGATGCGTCTTGCAGAACATCCCAGGTAGGTGCAAGGGGAATGGCGGGGAGCGGTGGGGAATGGTGGGGAGCGGTGGGGAAGATGGTGCAGACAGGCGACTTCCCAACTTCCCCTCCCGTCTAGTCCAGTGCCTTCACTCTCGGATATGACAGTGGAGGGTGGAGAAGGTGGGGCTGCTGCTGTGTGATAATTCTTGCGTCCCTCTCTCTCCCCTCCCCCCTCCCCCCTCCCCCCTTCCCCCCCTTCCCCCTTCCCCCTTCCCCCTTCCCCGTCACCATCCCCCCAACAACACCGCAGTGCCATCACTCTCCGAGATGACAGTGGAGGAGAAGGTGGGGCAGATGATGCAGATAGACGAGCGGGCGCTGGGATACGGAGACAACATTACAGTGTACCATATCGGATCAGTCCTTAGGTGAGTCCTTAGTCAGATTAGTCCATCTCAGGTCCGTATCAGGTCCGTCTCAGGTCTGTTTCATTTCATCAGATCAATCTCAGGTTTTTTTTTCTCTCGAAGCGGGTAGGAGCCAGCATCGCAACGTACCATGTCAAATCAGATTAGTCCGTCTCAGGTCTGTGCTCAGGTGAGACCTTTTCAGGAGCAGCATCACTGGTGGTCAAGAAAACACGCTCACGGGCGGACGGACATGGCCGATAACTGCCAGGTCAAGAAAAGGTTCTCAACACGCGCCTGTTCCCTTCGTCATTCCTCCTCTCCTCCCTGTGTGCTGTCCCTTCCCTCCTCCCTGTGTGCTGTCCCTCCCCTCCTCCCCTCCCTGTGTTTTTCCATACGCCAATGGGGGAGGGGCATGGCATGGCCACAGTACGCCCCCAACACCTCACAGCATGGGCGGACATGGCCGACAACTTCCAGGCCAAGGCGCTCAGTGCCCCTGCTTCCTTCCCTGTGCTGTCCCGCCCGTACACCCCTCCGTGTGTTATTTCTTCTGTCAGTGGGGGAGGAGCATGGCCCCAATACGCCCCCAACACCCCCACGGCATGGGCGGACATGGTCGATAACTTACCGGCCAAGGCACTCAACACGTGCCTGCCCTTTCATGCTCCTCCCGTCCCTCGTCCTTGTGCTGTTGTCTTCCCCCCTACCCCCGTCTCAGTGGGGGAGGGGCATGGCCCCAATACGCCCCCAACACCCCCACGGCATGGGCGGACATGGTCGATAACTTACCGGCCAAGGCACTCAACACGTGCCTGCCCTTTCATGCTCCTCCCGTCCCTCGTCCTTGTGCTGTTGTCTTCCCCCCTACCCCCGTCTCAGTGGGGGAGGGGCATGGCCCCAATACGCCCCCAACACCCCCACGGCATGGGCGGACATGGTCGATAACTTACCGGCCAAGGCACTCAACACGTGCCTGCCCTTTCATGCTCCTCCCGTCCCTCGTCCTTGTGCTGTTGTCTTCCCCCCTACCCCCGTCTCAGTGGGGGAGGGGCATGGCCCCAATACGCCCCCAACACCCCCACGGCATGGGCGGACATGGTCGATAACTTACCGGCCAAGGCACTCAACACGTGCCTGCCCTTTCATGCTCCTCCCGTCCCTCGTCCTTGTGCTGTTGTCTTCCCCCCTACCCCCGTCTCAGTGGGGGAGGGGCATGGCCCCAATACGCCCCCAACACCCCCACGGCATGGGCGGACATGGTCGATAACTTACTGGCCAAGGCACTCAACACGTGCCTGCCCTTTCATGCTCCTCCCGTCCCTCGTCCTTGTGCTGTTGTCTTCCCCCCTACCCCCGTCTCAGTGGGGGAGGGGCATGGCCCCAATACGCCCCCAACACCCCCACGGCATGGGCGGACATGGTCGATAACTTACCGGCAAAGGCACTCAACACGTGCCTGCCCTTTCATGCTCCTCCCGTCCCTCGTCCTTGTGCTGTTGTCTTCCCCCCTACCCCCGTCTCAGTGGGGGAGGGGCATGGCCCCAATACGCCCCCAACACCCCCACGGCATGGGCGGACATGGTCGATAACTTACCGGCCAAGGCACTCAACACGTGCCTGCCCTTTCATGCTCCTCCCGTCCCTCGTCCTTGTGCTGTTGTCTTCCCCCCTACCCCCGTCTCAGTGGGGGAGGGGCATGGCCCCAATACGCCCCCAACACCCCCACGGCATGGGCGGACATGGTCGATAACTTACCGGCCAAGGCACTCAACACGTGCCTGCCCTTTCATGCTCCTCCCGTCCCTCGTCCTTGTGCTGTTGTCTTCCCCCCTACCCCCGTCTCAGTGGGGGAGGGGCATGGCCCCAATACGCCCCCAACACCCCCACGGCATGGGCGGACATGGTCGATAACTTACCGGCCAAGGCACTCAACACGTGCCTGCCCTTTCATGCTCCTCCCGTCCCTCGTCCTTGTGCTGTTGTCTTCCCCCCTACCCCCGTCTCAGTGGGGGAGGGGCATGGCCCCAATACGCCCCCAACACCCCCACGGCATGGGCGGACATGGTCGATAACTTACCGGCAAAGGCACTCAACACGTGCCTGCCCTTTCATGCTCCTCCCGTCCCTCGTCCTTGTGCTGTTGTCTTCCCCCCTACCCCCGTCTCAGTGGGGGAGGGGCATGGCCCCAATACGCCCCCAACACCCCCACGGCATGGGCGGACATGGTCGATAACTTACCGGCCAAGGCACTCAACACGTGCCTGCCCTTTCATGCTCCTCCCGTCCCTCGTCCTTGTGCTGTTGTCTTCCCCCCTACCCCCGTCTCAGTGGGGGAGGGGCATGGCCCCAATACGCCCCCAACACCCCCACGGCATGGGCGGACATGGTCGATAACTTACCGGCCAAGGCACTCAACACGTGCCTGCCCTTTCATGCTCCTCCCGTCCCTCGTCCTTGTGCTGTTGTCTTCCCCCCTACCCCCGTCTCAGTGGGGGAGGGGCATGGCCCCAATACGCCCCCAACACCCCCACGGCATGGGCGGACATGGTCGATAACTTACCGGCCAAGGCACTCAACACGTGCCTGCCCTTTCATGCTCCTCCCGTCCCTCGTCCTTGTGCTGTTGTCTTCCCCCCTACCCCCGTCTCAGTGGGGGAGGGGCATGGCCCCAATACGCCCCCAACACCCCCACGGCATGGGCGGACATGGTCGATAACTTACCGGCCAAGGCACTCAACACGTGCCTGCCCTTTCATGCTCCTCCCGTCCCTCGTCCTTGTGCTGTTGTCTTCCCCCCTACCCCCGTCTCAGTGGGGGAGGGGCATGGCCCCAATACGCCCCCAACACCCCCACGGCATGGGCGGACATGGTCGATAACTTACCGGCCAAGGCACTCAACACGTGCCTGCCCTTTCATGCTCCTCCCGTCCCTCGTCCTTGTGCTGTTGTCTTCCCCCCTACCCCCGTCTCAGTGGGGGAGGGGCATGGCCCCAATACGCCCCCAACACCCCCACGGCATGGGCGGACATGGTCGATAACTTACCGGCCAAGGCACTCAACACGTGCCTGCCCTTTCATGCTCCTCCCGTCCCTCGTCCTTGTGCTGTTGTCTTCCCCCCTACCCCCGTCTCAGTGGGGGAGGGGCATGGCCCCAATACGCCCCCAACACCCCCACGGCATGGGCGGACATGGTCGATAACTTACCGGCCAAGGCACTCAACACGTGCCTGCCCTTTCATGCTCCTCCCGTCCCTCGTCCTTGTGCTGTTGTCTTCCCCCCTACCCCCGTCTCAGTGGGGGAGGGGCATGGCCCCAATACGCCCCCAACACCCCCACGGCATGGGCGGACATGGTCGATAACTTACCGGCCAAGGCACTCAACACGTGCCTGCCCTTTCATGCTCCTCCCGTCCCTCGTCCTTGTGCTGTTGTCTTCCCCCCTACCCCCGTCTCAGTGGGGGAGGGGCATGGCCCCAATACGCCCCCAACACCCCCACGGCATGGGCGGACATGGTCGATAACTTACCGGCCAAGGCACTCAACACGTGCCTGCCCTTTCATGCTCCTCCCGTCCCTCGTCCTTGTGCTGTTGTCTTCCCCCCTACCCCCGTCTCAGTGGGGGAGGGGCATGGCCCCAATACGCCCCCAACACCCCCACGGCATGGGCGGACATGGTCGATAACTTACCGGCCAAGGCACTCAACACGTGCCTGCCCTTTCATGCTCCTCCCGTCCCTCGTCCTTGTGCTGTTGTCTTCCCCCCTACCCCCGTCTCAGTGGGGGAGGGGCATGGCCCCAATACGCCCCCAACACCCCCACGGCATGGGCGGACATGGTCGATAACTTACCGGCCAAGGCACTCAACACGTGCCTGCCCTTTCATGCTCCTCCCGTCCCTCGTCCTTGTGCTGTTGTCTTCCCCCCTACCCCCGTCTCAGTGGGGGAGGGGCATGGCCCCAATACGCCCCCAACACCCCCACGGCATGGGCGGACATGGTCGATAACTTACCGGCCAAGGCACTCAACACGTGCCTGCCCTTTCATGCTCCTCCCGTCCCTCGTCCTTGTGCTGTTGTCTTCCCCCCTACCCCCGTCTCAGTGGGGGAGGGGCATGGCCCCAATACGCCCCCAACACCCCCACGGCATGGGCGGACATGGTCGATAACTTACCGGCCAAGGCACTCAACACGTGCCTGCCCTTTCATGCTCCTCCCGTCCCTCGTCCTTGTGCTGTTGTCTTCCCCCCTACCCCCGTCTCAGTGGGGGAGGGGCATGGCCCCAATACGCCCCCAACACCCCCACGGCATGGGCGGACATGGTCGATAACTTACCGGCCAAGGCACTCAACACGTGCCTGCCCTTTCATGCTCCTCCCGTCCCTCGTCCTTGTGCTGTTGTCTTCCCCCCTACCCCCGTCTCAGTGGGGGAGGGGCATGGCCCCAATACGCCCCCAACACCCCCACGGCATGGGCGGACATGGTCGATAACTTACCGGCCAAGGCACTCAACACGTGCCTGCCCTTTCATGCTCCTCCCGTCCCTCGTCCTTGTGCTGTTGTCTTCCCCCCTACCCCCGTCTCAGTGGGGGAGGGGCATGGCCCCAATACGCCCCCAACACCCCCACGGCATGGGCGGACATGGTCGATAACTTACCGGCCAAGGCACTCAACACGTGCCTGCCCTTTCATGCTCCTCCCGTCCCTCGTCCTTGTGCTGTTGTCTTCCCCCCTACCCCCGTCTCAGTGGGGGAGGGGCATGGCCCCAATACGCCCCCAACACCCCCACGGCATGGGCGGACATGGTCGATAACTTACCGGCCAAGGCACTCAACACGTGCCTGCCCTTTCATGCTCCTCCCGTCCCTCGTCCTTGTGCTGTTGTCTTCCCCCCTACCCCCGTCTCAGTGGGGGAGGGGCATGGCCCCAATACGCCCCCAACACCCCCACGGCATGGGCGGACATGGTCGATAACTTACCGGCCAAGGCACTCAACACGTGCCTGCCCTTTCATGCTCCTCCCGTCCCTCGTCCTTGTGCTGTTGTCTTCCCCCCTACCCCCGTCTCAGTGGGGGAGGGGCATGGCCCCAATACGCCCCCAACACCCCCACGGCATGGGCGGACATGGTCGATAACTTACCGGCCAAGGCACTCAACACGTGCCTGCCCTTTCATGCTCCTCCCGTCCCTCGTCCTTGTGCTGTTGTCTTCCCCCCTACCCCCGTCTCAGTGGGGGAGGGGCATGGCCCCAATACGCCCCCAACACCCCCACGGCATGGGCGGACATGGTCGATAACTTACCGGCCAAGGCACTCAACACGTGCCTGCCCTTTCATGCTCCTCCCGTCCCTCGTCCTTGTGCTGTTGTCTTCCCCCCTACCCCCGTCTCAGTGGGGGAGGGGCATGGCCCCAATACGCCCCCAACACCCCCACGGCATGGGCGGACATGGTCGATAACTTACCGGCCAAGGCACTCAACACGTGCCTGCCCTTTCATGCTCCTCCCGTCCCTCGTCCTTGTGCTGTTGTCTTCCCCCCTACCCCCGTCTCAGTGGGGGAGGGGCATGGCCCCAATACGCCCCCAACACCCCCACGGCATGGGCGGACATGGTCGATAACTTACCGGCCAAGGCACTCAACACGTGCCTGCCCTTTCATGCTCCTCCCGTCCCTCGTCCTTGTGCTGTTGTCTTCCCCCCTACCCCCGTCTCAGTGGGGGAGGGGCATGGCCCCAATACGCCCCCAACACCCCCACGGCATGGGCGGACATGGTCGATAACTTACCGGCCAAGGCACTCAACACGTGCCTGCCCTTTCATGCTCCTCCCGTCCCTCGTCCTTGTGCTGTTGTCTTCCCCCCTACCCCCGTCTCAGTGGGGGAGGGGCATGGCCCCAATACGCCCCCAACACCCCCACGGCATGGGCGGACATGGTCGATAACTTACCGGCCAAGGCACTCAACACGTGCCTGCCCTTTCATGCTCCTCCCGTCCCTCGTCCTTGTGCTGTTGTCTTCCCCCCTACCCCCGTCTCAGTGGGGGAGGGGCATGGCCCCAATACGCCCCCAACACCCCCACGGCATGGGCGGACATGGTCGATAACTTACCGGCCAAGGCACTCAACACGTGCCTGCCCTTTCATGCTCCTCCCGTCCCTCGTCCTTGTGCTGTTGTCTTCCCCCCTACCCCCGTCTCAGTGGGGGAGGGGCATGGCCCCAATACGCCCCCAACACCCCCACGGCATGGGCGGACATGGTCGATAACTTACCGGCAAAGGCACTCAACACGTGCCTGCCCTTTCATGCTCCTCCCGTCCCTCGTCCTTGTGCTGTTGTCTTCCCCCCTACCCCCGTCTCAGTGGGGGAGGGGCATGGCCCCAATACGCCCCCAACACCCCCACGGCATGGGCGGACATGGTCGATAACTTACCGGCCAAGGCACTCAACACGTGCCTGCCCTTTCATGCTCCTCCCGTCCCTCGTCCTTGTGCTGTTGTCTTCCCCCCTACCCCCGTCTCAGTGGGGGAGGGGCATGGCCCCAATACGCCCCCAACACCCCCACGGCATGGGCGGACATGGTCGATAACTTACCGGCCAAGGCACTCAACACGTGCCTGCCCTTTCATGCTCCTCCCGTCCCTCGTCCTTGTGCTGTTGTCTTCCCCCCTACCCCCGTCTCAGTGGGGGAGGGGCATGGCCCCAATACGCCCCCAACACCCCCACGGCATGGGCGGACATGGTCGATAACTTACCGGCCAAGGCACTCAACACGTGCCTGCCCTTTCATGCTCCTCCCGTCCCTCGTCCTTGTGCTGTTGTCTTCCCCCCTACCCCCGTCTCAGTGGGGGAGGGGCATGGCCCCAATACGCCCCCAACACCCCCACGGCATGGGCGGACATGGTCGATAACTTACCGGCCAAGGCACTCAACACGTGCCTGCCCTTTCATGCTCCTCCCGTCCCTCGTCCTTGTGCTGTTGTCTTCCCCCCTACCCCCGTCTCAGTGGGGGAGGGGCATGGCCCCAATACGCCCCCAACACCCCCACGGCATGGGCGGACATGGTCGATAACTTACCGGCCAAGGCACTCAACACGTGCCTGCCCTTTCATGCTCCTCCCGTCCCTCGTCCTTGTGCTGTTGTCTTCCCCCCTACCCCCGTCTCAGTGGGGGAGGGGCATGGCCCCAATACGCCCCCAACACCCCCACGGCATGGGCGGACATGGTCGATAACTTACCGGCCAAGGCACTCAACACGTGCCTGCCCTTTCATGCTCCTCCCGTCCCTCGTCCTTGTGCTGTTGTCTTCCCCCCTACCCCCGTCTCAGTGGGGGAGGGGCATGGCCCCAATACGCCCCCAACACCCCCACGGCATGGGCGGACATGGTCGATAACTTACCGGCCAAGGCACTCAACACGTGCCTGCCCTTTCATGCTCCTCCCGTCCCTCGTCCTTGTGCTGTTGTCTTCCCCCCTACCCCCGTCTCAGTGGGGGAGGGGCATGGCCCCAATACGCCCCCAACACCCCCACGGCATGGGCGGACATGGTCGATAACTTACCGGCCAAGGCACTCAACACGTGCCTGCCCTTTCATGCTCCTCCCGTCCCTCGTCCTTGTGCTGTTGTCTTCCCCCCTACCCCCGTCTCAGTGGGGGAGGGGCATGGCCCCAATACGCCCCCAACACCCCCACGGCATGGGCGGACATGGTCGATAACTTACCGGCCAAGGCACTCAACACGTGCCTGCCCTTTCATGCTCCTCCCGTCCCTCGTCCTTGTGCTGTTGTCTTCCCCCCTACCACCGTCTCAGTGGGGGAGGGGCATGGCCCCAATACGCCCCCAACACCCCCACGGCATGGGCAGACATGGTCGATAACTTCCAGGCCAAGGCGCTCAACACGTGCCTGCGTCCCTTCCCCCGTGTTGTTTTCTTCCCCCCTATACGCATCCCCCTATGCAGTGGGGGAGGGGCATGGCCGCAGTACGCCCCCAACACCCCCACGGCATGGGCGGACATGGTCGATAACTTCCCGGCCAAGGCACTCAACACGTGCCTGCCCTTTCATGCTCCTCCCGTCCCTCGTCCTTGTGCTGTTGTCTTCCCCCCTACCCCCGTCTCAGTGGGGGAGGGGCATGGCCCCAATACGCCCCCAACACCCCCACGCCATGGGCAGACATGGTCGATAACTTCCAGGCCAAGGCGCTCAACACGTGCCTGCGTCCCTTCCCCCGTGTTGTTTTCTTCCCCCCTATACGCATCCCCCTATGCAGTGGGGGAGGGGCATGGCCGCAGTACGCCCCCAACACCCCAACAGCATGGGCAGACATGGTCGACAACTTCCAGGCGAAAGCCCTCACCACGCGCGTGCTGCCCTCTTCCCCCTTGTGTGCTGTTCCTCCCTCCTTTTGTTGTTTTACACACCACACCAGTGGGGGAGGTGCATGGCTGCAGTACGCACCCAACACCCCCACAGTGAAAGCGTTCAAAACTCACACACCTGCTCCCCTCCTCCTCCCCGTGTGTGCTGTCCCGCCTCTCCTCCCGTTGTTGTTTTTCCCTCCCGGACCGCAGTGGCGGACATGGGCGGACATGGTCGATAATTTTCAAGCGAAAGCTCTCAACACGCGGCTGCGAGTGCCACTGCTGTACGGAGTAGATGCAGTGCATGGGCACAACAACGTGTTGGGGGCGACTATTTTCCCCCACCACGTGGGGCTGGGGGCGGCTGGGGATGCCACGCTTGTAGAGGCCATTGCTGCTGCTGTGGCCAAGGTGAGAGTGCAGGTGAAGGCGAGGGATTAGTTTTGAGAATTCTCAAACAAGGTGAGAGTGCAGGTGAAGGCGAGGGATTAGTTTTGAGAATTCTCAAACAAGGTGAGAGTGCAGGTGAAGGCGAGGGATTAGTTTTGAGAATTCTCAAACAAGGTGAGAGTGCAGGTGAAGGCGAGGGATTAGTTTTGAGAATTCTCAAACAAGGTGAGAGTGCAGGTGAAGGCGAGGGATTAGTTTTGAGAATTCTCAAACAAGGTGAGAGTGCAGGTGAAGGCGAGGGATTAGTTTTGAGAATTCTCAAACAAGGTGAGAGTGCAGGTGAAGGCGAGGGAATAGTTTTGAGAATTCTCAAACAAGGTGAGAGTGCAGGTGAAGGCGAGGGATTAGTTTTGAGAATTCTCAAACAAGGTGAGAGTGCAGGTGAAGGCGAGGGATTAGTTTTGAGAATTCTCAAACAAGGTGAGAGTGCAGGTGAAGGCGAGGGATTAGTTTTGAGAATTCTCAAACAAGGTGAGAGTGCAGGTCAAGGCGAGGGATTAGTTTTGAGAATTCTCAAACAAGGTGAGAGTGCAGGTGAAGGCGAGGGATTAGTTTTGAGAATTCTCAAACAAGGTGAGAGTGCAGGTGAAGGCGAGGGATTAGTTTTGAGAATTCTCAAACAAGGTGAGAGTGCAGGTGAAGGCGAGGGATTAGTTTTGAGAATTCTCAAACAAGGTGAGAGTGCAGGTGAAGGCGAGGGAATAGTTTTGAGAATTCTCAAACAAGGTGAGAGTGCAGGTGAAGGCGAGGGATTAGTTTTGAGAATTCTCAAACAAGGTGAGAGTGCAGGTGAAGGCGAGGGATTAGTTTTGAGAATTCTCAAACAAGGTGAGAGTGCAGGTCAAGGCGAGGGATTAGTTTTGAGAATTCTCAAACAAGGTGAGAGTGCAGGTCAAGGCGAGGGATTAGTTTTGAGAATTCTCAAACAAGGTGAGAGTGCAGGTGAAGGCGAGGGATTAGTTTTGAGAATTCTCAAACAAGGTGAGAGTGCAGGTGAAGGCGAGGGATTAGTTTTGAGAATTCTCAAACAAGGTGAGAGTGCAGGTGAAGGCGAGGGATTAGTTTTGAGACTTCTCAAACAAGGTGAGAGTGCAGGTGAAGGCGAGGGATTAGTTTTGAGAATTCTCAAACAAGGTGAGAGTGCAGGTGAAGGCGAGGGATTAGTTTTGAGAATTCTCAAACAAGGTGAGAGTGCAGGTGAAGGCGAGGATTTAGTTTTGAGAATTCTCAAACAAGGTGAGAGTGCAGGTGAAGGCGAGGGATTAGTTTTGAGAATTCTCAAACAAGGTGAGAGTGCAGGTCAAGGCGAGGGATTAGTTTTGAGAATTCTCAAACAAGGTGAGAGTGCAGGTCAAGGCGAGGGATTAGTTTTGAGAATTCTCAAACAAGGTGAGAGTGCAGGTGAAGGCGAGGGATTAGTTTTGAGAATTCTCAAACAAGGTGAGAGTGCAGGTGAAGGCGAGGGATTAGTTTTGAGAATTCTCAAACAAGGTGAGAGTGCAGGTGAAGGCGAGGGATTAGTTTTGAGAATTCTCAAACAAGGTGAGAGTGCAGGTGAAGGCGAGGGATTAGTTTTGAGAATTCTCAAACAAGGTGAGAGTGCAGGTCAAGGCGAGGGATTAGTTTTGAGAATTCTCAAACAAGGTGAGAGTGCAGGTGAAGGCGAGGGATTAGTTTTGAGAATTCTCAAACAAGGTGAGAGTGCAGGTCAAGGCGAGGGATTAGTTTTGAGAATTCTCAAACAAGGTGAGAGTGCAGGTCAAGGCGAGGGCTCAAAGCCAGGTGAGTTGGGGTGAAGGTTCAGGCCACGAGAAGGCGCTCAACACGCGCCTGGTTGCGTTTTTTGAGAATTCTCAGAAGTGAAAGCTCCAATCAAGGTGAGTTGGGGTGAAGGTTCAGGCCAGAAGGCGCTCAACACGCGCCTGGTTGCGTTTTTTGAGAATTCTCAGAAGTGAAAGCTCCAATCAAGGTGAGTTGGGGTGAAGGTTCAGGCCACGAGAAGGCGCTCAACACGCGCCTGGTTGCGTTTTTTGAAAATTCTCAGAAGTGAAAGCTCCAATCAAGGTGAGTTGGGGTGAAGGTTACTTTTGAGTCGACTCAAAACGAGATGACTTTTGACTTTTGAGTCGACTCAAAACGAGATGACTTTCGACTTTTGAGTCGACTCAAAACGAGATGACTTTTGACTTTTGAGTCGACTCAAAACGAGATGACTTTTGACTTTTGAGTCAAAAGGTTACTTTTGAGTCGACTCAAAAGTCACCTCGTTGGGGTGAAGGTTACTTTTGAGTCGACTCAAAAGTCACCTCGTTGGGGTGAAGGTTCAGTTCAGGCCACGAGAAGGCGCTCAGCATGGGGCTGGTTGCGGGTGCCGGTGCTGTACGGAGTAGACGCGGTGCATGGGCACAACAACGTCGAAGGGCCAATCCCCAGGCCATACCACTCAGCATGCAGCTGCGCCTGCGAGTGCTGTACGGGGTAGACGCAGTGCATGGGCACAACAACGCGCAGGGGGCCACTATTTTCCCGCACCACGTGGGGCTGGGCGGTGCTGGGAACGCAACACTTGTTGAGGAGATTGCTGCAGCGGTGGCAAAGGTGAGAGTGCAAGTCAAGGCGAGGGCCCTAAGCCAGGTGAGTTGGGGTGAAGGGCACGGGACGGGAAAAGGCGCTCAACACGCGGCTGCGGGTGCCGGTGCTGTACGGAGTCGAGCAGCTGTCGCTAAGGTGAATTGGGTGATTGTGACAATCTCATCTGCCCCACCCTGCCCCACCCTACCCCACCCATTGCAGGAAGTGGCAGCAACGGGAGTGCGGTGGACCTTTGCCCCAGCAGTCACTGTGTGCCTCGACCCTCGCTGGGGCCGCTGCTATGAGAGCTACGGAGCGAACCCAGGGCTTGTAACAGAGCTTGCTATAGCGGAGATACGTGGATGGATGGTGAGGGGACAGCAATGCGAGAGGAGAAAAGGGGGGGAGTTGCAGGGTGTGGGGAAGAAGGGTATTGTATTGTGCCCTGGCTTTTAAAGTTCTCTGCAGGGTCTGGGGAGTTCCCCTGACTTTAAAAGCCAGGGGAAGAAGGGTATTGTATCGTGCCCTGGCTTTTAAAGTTCTCTGCATTTAAAACATTATTGAGTCGACTCAAAATCAGTCTTATCGTGCCCTGGCTTTAAATGTTTTCTACATTAAAAGCATTATCGGGTGAAAGGACGGTAATCCTAAACTCCCAGCTGCACGTCTTTTCTTCCTCTGTCTTCGTCGAGTCACTACCGGACCTGCGTTGTTCTCTCTCATGTGTTTTTTGTTATGAATACATTTTTTTTTTCTTCTCTCGGTGCCTTCTTTCCATTCTCCTTTTCCTTCCAACTCCCGCATTCTACCCCTCAGAAAGTGCCTCCCGAGGCGGGGAACTTTCCAGGAAACGTCTTCATGGCGCCAACAGCAAAGCACTATGTGGGGGACGGGGGCACGAGGGGAGGCGTGGACCGGGGGGAGACGGTTGGGGGGGAGGCGGAGCTGAGGAAGGTGCATCTGCTGCCGTATGTGGCGGCTGTAGCGGAGGGTGTGTCCACGATCATGGCCAGCTACAGCAGTTGGAACGGCACCAAGATGCATGGCAATGGGTGAGTGAGCTACAGCTGGGGCAAGTGGGTGAGTGCATGGATGGAATTGAAGCAGGTTGTAGCGGAGGGCGTGTGTGTGTCTACCATCATGGCGAGCTACAGCAGCTGGAATGGCACCAAGATGCACGGCAATGGGTGAGTGAGTGAATGAGTGAGCTACAGCTGGGCATGGCTGCATGTGCGCTACAGCTGGGCATGGCTGCATGTGCGCTACAGCCGCTACAGTGGGGGCTCTTACGAAGTCAGAGGGCGGTTGGCTGTAGCAGAGGGAGTGTCTACGATCATGGCGAGCTACAGCAACTGGAGCGGCACCAAGATGCATGGCAATGGGTGAGTGAGTGTGCTACAGCTGGCAATGGGTAAGTGAGTGAGGTACATCTTAGCATGACCTGCTGTCTGCAGGTGCGCTACAGCCGGGTATGGTGAGAGGTGCGCTACAGCAGCAGGGATATGATATGGTGATAGGTGAGGTTGATATGGTAGATGGGAGTTGGCTGCAGCATCAGGAACTTTTGAGGCGCCTAAGAAATGCCCTCCACCTCTCCACCCTTTTCACGTCATTACATGTCCCCACCGTTCCATTTCCCCACCTTTCCATTTCCCCACCTTTCCATTTCCCCACCTTTCCATTTCCCCAC